TACCTTTAGTGCCATAGCACCATTCCTATCTGAAAACCAATCCCATGAATAGCCCATTCTATTGCACCGGCTAGGTTTGCTGGTCAGTGGCTGCAGGACAAAAGCCTTCCCAAAAAGTGAAAGCTGTCTGTAAAACATCACAGGTTGTTCAAACCTCACTACCTGGCAAGAGAATTTTGAGTTTACAGAAACAGCTACACCCAAAAAGTCACAGGAGGCAGTGACTGGCCACTCTGCAGAGGAAGTGGAGCTCAGGGTTAGGTGTTTCAGTCATGAAGACACGGTGGAAAGGGTGCCTGACTGCCTTCTGGCACTTTGCTGTGTTCTGGACCTGTGACCAAGGAACACTGGGACAGAGCGAGGTGTGTGACTAACAACACTCACAGGGTCTAAATAAAGCCAGCAGCAAACCAGCACATGGCGTGTCCCATGCTCACACTGAGAGGAAGCAGATCCGAGTGCTCTTGGAGACACTCTGGAGGCTTGGACAAATGGATTACTGGTCAAGTTCTCATCAAGAGCCACGTGATTCACTAACAAAACCCTGGACAGGCCAGCAAAAGGAAAATCAAAACCTGTACATGGAACGGCAGTTTCCATGTGGAATTTCTTCACTAACTTGGTCAAGTCCAACAAATTCCAGAAGTAATGGTTAAAATGCAGTAGAAAAGACACTTTCCTTTCAAGTGAAAGGAAACACAGTGTGAAACCCAAACTGGCATGAGATCGCATTAGAACTACACAAACTCATCCTGTAGCAGCACAGTGAGCTCTGAAGGCTGTCACAAACAGCCCATGACATCCTCAGCAGTGTCACACAGCAGGGACTCAAGACTTCCTCTGCTCACAGCAGCTCCCCCGAGCGCAGGTGCAAAGGCTTAAGGGGACAGAAAAACCAACAAGAAGGAGCAACAGTTTCAGTTTTATCCTGTTGCAACTGTAGCTCCCCATAAGTATGGGGGGTCAAGTTTTCAAATCTTTGAAGTTTACATTTTTGTTGTGAGCGGTATCCAGACCGAAGAAGGTATCAGTGCAATTCTTGTTTAACTCTTCCCTGTACAAGAAGATATAATTGCTGGATATGAAGGGATATAAGCATAAAGAGAGATTCTGGCTAGGAAAAAACTAAAGATCCTCGAGGTGCATTGTGGAGAAGAAAAAGTTCTTACAGAATCTGACTTGAATTCACAGAATTGAAAAGAGAACTGAATGATCCTAAGGACTAATGAATATTTAGACTGAATACATTGCTGTTCTTCCATACAACTTTCAGTCTTCCAAGTCAGGTGCCAAATCAACATCTGCATACTCTGGAAAGAAAGTCACTGGGTGACTTATATTAAAAGGTTGAAGAATTCAGAAGCCATCTGGCAGATGCATGTACTAATGGTAAGATGGGATCAGATATTTAACAAAGTAATTTGTATTGTGAACATGCTATTAAAGTAATTGGAAAAGTTTGTTCAAGGAAGGAATTATCTCAACAGGGCATGAGGATAATCTTGAGCACTCTGTCACCTTCCCCTGGACATGTGAGTAGCTACCATTCAGGCTTGCTTCCTGCTAACCACAGGTGTTACTGAAGCAATACTGGTAACTCCCATTTCCCCACCCAGAACAACTCCAGTGGGAAGGAATTCAAGGGTCTCTTCTGTGACAAACACACTCTGAGAATTACAAGGAACAGACACAACATAACCAAGAACTCTTCACAAAATTTATGACAAATCTTGACCAAGTCCTAGACATATCAAGAGGCAAAAGAGTGGGAAGTAAAAATTTACAGCTCAGTACCTGCTTCCAAAAGACTGGCAGCAGATCCAGTTTGCTAATCCAGTGCAAAATCTGCCACAAATCAAAGACAGACACACCTAACTAGCATGAGAAAAAAGAGATTGAAAAGAATTCAAATGCAAAAGCCACTTCAAAGGCTAAATAAAGTCAAAATGTATTTCTCTGAACACATCTATAAGCTTTGCCCAAGCTTTTTCAGATCTGTGCTAACGGGTCAGCTCTTCCTTAAAAATGCTGGAAAATCTGTTTGCTATTAGGGTCCAAAACATGCCAACTTTACAAATTTTTCAAGCAATAGAGGTTTTCAGCTGTCTCAGTGGCTATGTTCAAGTGTCCATCTGTTCTCGTACAGCATTTCTAACTAATCCATCCCTAATTCCTACAACTCTGACCAAGGCAAGCAAATGGTTCTAAACAACCTTTTCCAACAGTCAGTCCTGCTCTCTCTGCATCTCCCACCACTAGCATTCCCACTTCATTACAGAGCAAACACACACCACAGTTTTAAAATTTGCACATATGCAACCTGTAACCTTCATTTCACTATCAAAAATCAGCTACTAGCTCTGTTCACAATGCATTGTATCTACTGCTTAGCCTTTAGGTAAGAAGACCCCAGCAATTATTTGCCCCTAAGAACAGGAATGGCAATTTTATTACTGAATCTTAAGCCGAGACAAATGCAAAGTTTAAATCCCAACAAACTCAATGGGAGCTTCTAAACCTAGAGGAGTCTGTAACATACTCTCAGCATAAAGTTCACGCACATTAAACCCTGAGCCATCTATTTGCAGCCTAAATTGACTTCAGGAATAAAAAATAGCATCTGATGCTTAAGCTTTCTTTATATAACCCTTACAACAATTTCTGTCTGCCTTTAATTATTTAGCTGGCCACTCTTCTCAGCAAAAAAAATTACAAGCACGTAAATATTACGTGGCATAATTGCGAAAGCACCTTACTTATTTTGCTGACTCAAAATAACTGTTTACAGCCTCTTAAATATATCAGGTTGTCCAAATGCTAAAACCCCATAACGCAGAAGATACCAAAAGAATGCATGAACAGGTGCCTCTACCCAGAAAATGAGGACATATTTCTGACTGGAGCAACAGTCAAACCCTCCCTGTTAAAACACATAACTATGAGGTGTATAACCCCTATTTCACCACTATCTAATTCTTATGAGGTGTATAACCCCTATTTCACCACTATCTAATTCTTATGAGGTGTATAACCCCTATTTCACCACTATCTAATTCTTATGAAGTGCATGACTCAAGGCTGTACCTGACTGCCAGCTCCTACCTGTGCCTGTTCCTTACCTGTCCTGCCAACAGGCATAGGCACACGGTGAACAGAGCCTCGCAAACCTCTACTAAACATTTTTCAGTCAGGTTTATCCTTTCTCGGCCCTCACCTGACCAGGTCTCCATGAAGCTGCAAAAAGAGGTTTTTCCTCCCTTCTCTGTCACAGATCTCCGAGGCTTGGGTGTCCACTGTGCAGAGGACCAGGCGCAAATCCGAAGGAGCCGCAGCTGCTGAGTCTCTTCCATAAACATACACGCAGCCTCGACCGACGTCCCCTTTCAGCCAGGTCCTCTCACGGGAACCAACACGGCTCCTGCTCTGGCAGCTCCTGCTCCCGGCGCGCTTCGCGTTCCTCTGCAAGGCAGCCCAAGCCGAGCGTCAGCCCCGGAGCCCGGCAACGGCCCCGCCTGCGAGCCGGCCCCGCACCGGCAGCAGCCACCGCCACGGGAAAGACCAAGGTCGCGGCGGGCAAGCGCCCCGGCGTCCCGCAGCCGACTGCCCCCCACCCCACCGAGCCGCCTAGAGCGGCGGAGGCCTCGGTCCACTCCTCACCTTCAGCACCCGGATGCCGCCGCGGGGTCCGGTCCGGCCCCCTCGTGCGCCGCCCGGAGCCGCCGCCTCGTCCTCCTCGGCCTCCTGCGCCTCCCTGGGCCTGGGCCCGGGCCCCGGCCCGGCCTCCCCCATCGCCGGCCGGACCGACAGCCCGGGGCTCGGCGGCCCCGCCCCGGAAGCGCACGGCCCGTCCGGCCCAGACCCCGCCCCGGGCGGCAGCGACGGGAGGAGC